CACACACACACACACACCCTCACACACACACACACACACACCCCAAGCGGCCTCCCACACCCTGAAGGATAGCCAGGCCAGACTCCACCTGAGACAAGACTGAAGGACCAAATTGTTGAGTAGAAAACTCCCCTTGTACACCACCTCTCGGAAAAGCCGAGTTAAGAAAGAGAAAGCTGGAAGGGAAGGAGGGGGAAAATAAAGCTCCACATTCCTGACATTTTTTTAGCCAAGTGCTGTGGCTGCACAGAACAGCTCTATTCCAAACAGCCTGCAGGACAGAAAGAAAACCTGGGTTCAGGGAAAAGAACCTGCCCCTTACCTTGGAAATGGGGGAAGGAATCTCAGGACGGCCCAAAACTAAGCCAAGAAGAGGAGAGGGTCGCCCTTTCATGTGTATTCCCGAAAGGAAGTGATCCCAAAGGAAGGAATTTGGAGTCATCACCTCCCAGGGGACAGAGCTGGAAGTCCTGGGGTCCCTGAGGGGGAAATGAAAGCCCCTCAGAATGATGGTGGGCTGACTAGTGAACTGGGGCAGGGGCATGGCAGGAATGAGATGGAGACCAGTTAGGACCCAAGGCTGGGGCTGCCTGGGGTCAGAGGAGAGGGGCCCAGCTCACTGGCAGGGACTGGGCAGGGGACCCCAGAGGGAGGGGCGGCCAGGAGGCTCACTCTTTGTGGGAAGGGTTATAAATGAGTTTTCCTGACTCAGCTTCTGAATGAAGGAACCCTAGCTGTGCCCAACTTAGAAACCCAAGAGCCTGCCGCCCTCTCCTCTCTCCTTGGCTGCCCCCTTCCTCTTCCACCTCCTCTGTCCTCACTTGTAGGAAAAAGTGTGTTAAGTGCTGGACTGCTCCCCGCATAGGCATCCCTACATACACACCACACCTCCAAGGGAGAACCCAGAAGAGGCTAAGTGACACCTAGTAAGTCCTGTGCTGGGTTATGAGGCGCCACCCCTGGCTTTACTCCAAACGTGAAGATGCCCACATGGGTTTCTCTGAGGTCCCTAGAGAAGAAACTGAGCTGGGTTTGCTCCTATATGGTAGGGAGAGCAGAGGTCCAAAAATCTGAGTTCCCCCAAAATATGTACCTGTGGATAGTCAGTTGGTAGGTAGACAACGAGGATCTACTAAATACCCAGCACAGCAGAACACGCATCCTTCATAAGGGAATTTTTGCACAGCCCACCTTCTCCCAGATCAGCACACACCAGCAATCCCACAATGCACCTTCCAGAGGAGACTCCTGCCCTATAAGCCCAAAAGTGTAGGTCTAAGTTTCTACAGGATGAGGGTAGTGGGAAGAGGTAGCCTGCAGGCATTTTGGCCAGGGCCCTTTCCACACATCCCAGTCCAGTCCCAGGAGGGGTTTTTTTTTTTATTGGGGTTTTGTTTCCACCCTGGGCCTTTCTCTTCTGTCAGGTACTCGGAGAAAGGGCCCCTAGCTCTTTCAACTCCCAGAGTTCCAGGTTTAATCCATTGGACTTTCCAAGACTACAGAGGCAGGGAGGGCAGAAGGTACCAAGCTCCAACACTACACAGCTCTTTTTGAGTAAACATAAAGCAGGTAGAGCCACAAACCTTGACAAATGACAGAAACAGCAGAGAGCCATAAGGCTACGCAAGGCTGCAAAGCGTGTGGCTCTGAGGTCTACAGCTGTCACGTGTGTCTTTCCAACCACACCCTCCAAGACTGGTGACACGGCATTGGAAGGCCTCTTAGAATGGAGGACAGCAAATAGATACAAATAGGACAGAAATAGGACAGAGAGTACTGGCTGGACCAAACAAATTCTGTCTTATTTCGGAAGCTATTATTACGATAAATAATAACAGGGCTTCAATGGCAAGCGACTTGTTTTTTCACATTTGTAGACTCTGTTACAGCTTTTGTAGCTTACATGATCTCAGGAAACCTTATGATAACCCCGTGAGGGAGATAGGTTTTACCAACCTCTTTAACAATGGGGAAACTGAGGCTGCAGGGAGAGACTAGTGACAGAGCAGGGACTGGGACACAGGGACAACCCTGGTTTGACAAAGCCCTTCCCAATATGTGATGAGAACTGTGGAGTGGGAGGACGGAAGGAGGGGCTGATGTAAAGGCGCACTACCAAAAACCCTGGAGAGCAGACCCGAATCCTAGTCTCAGGTATATTTCCTACAGACCCTGAATCCCAGCGAAGGGCACATCCACACATCTAACCCTGTCTTGGCCACCATAAAAATGTCCCCAGCTTGAGGGCAGCTTCACTGGCCAATTGGGACCCTAGTCATCCTTAGAGAGGAGACAGGGAGCGCAGAGGAAGAGAGATACAGAAGAAATTAGCCACCCTAGGAATCCTCCATCTCCAAGGCAGCTGACAAATGGTTACAGCTTCCTAACCCATTCCTGAGAATGCAGATAAGCAACCCTACCCAGAAGGGAGGGCAAGGCGTGGCCTCAGAGAAGACCACTGTGAGAGTAAGGGGAGTGTCATTCACATATCTCTCTCTCTCTTGAGACAAGATATACTGCAGCAAGCCCTATGCTCAGTTTCCTCTAGCTCTTCTTACTTTTGAATATCACCGTTTTCTCCCTCTCTCTTGGATGTAGGGAGTCCTTCCCATCAGACCCCTGGGATCCTGACCCCGTGGGGCTTACAAAAGTCTGTTCTGTGAGGCCTGCACCCGCGCACTGCTGTTGGTGGTAGGACCGCATCCCCTTCACCCTGCTCCAACAGCTATGAGAGAATCACCTTCCCCCTAAAGGCAGAGGGTATCCCCATCCCTCTTCTTGGCCCTCTCCTTGGCTCTGTAACGGGGAGAAGCTCTGGGTCCACCACAGATGGATCTAAAGGAACAGTCCACACAGTGATAAAGGGTATATGAACACTTGGCCTTTTAGGCAAGAGCAAAAAAAGGGGGGGGGAGGGGGCAGGCGGGAGGAAGGCAGAAGGGCACTGCTGGGATGGGGCCAGGGCCACACGTGAAGACCCCTAGCACGTTCCAGAGCTAAGGATGCAAAAGACCGAGAAAATCAGGTGGGAGGTGGAAAAGGGTCGGGTTCCCTCCCACTGGAAAAGCCCAGAAGAGCTGGCAGCCACCGCTTGGGAGAGGGAGTTGTGCAATGACTGCGGGTCTGGGAGTCTCCGGGCTTGGCTCCCGGACACCAGAAAGGAAACCCCACTGGTCGGGCCAGGGTGGCAGCGCCGCGGTTGGTTCGAGGCCAGGCTTAGGAGTCAGGGCTGCAGAGAGAGCTGCAGGATAGAGTGGGTGCCCAAGGGTCCGTGGAGCAGGGCACAGCTGGCACAGCGCGGAGCTGGGGGTTGGGGGGAGGTGGTGTTTGGGCTGAGAGGCCAAGGGGGGTACAGTGCACAAAGCCGGGGGGTACGGATAACGTACATGGCAGCCCCGCGCTCCAGCGCAGACGAAGACCGCGGGGACCTGCAGGGGTCCGCCGGGCGGCGCACAAGAAAGGGCGCCCCCTCCCCAGTCTCGCTCACCTCGAACATAAGCCCGATGAGGACGCAGAGCACCAGGCAGAAGCCGATGTCCGCATGGTTGTGGATGACGAACTCCTGGCTGAAGAGCGGGTAACTTTTCGTCCTCCTGCGGAAAGCCATGGCAGCGGGCGCGCAGCGGCCGGCGGGGCCCGCACCCTGCGCTCACGAGCCGCCGCGCAAACTTCTCCAG